GACGAAAAAAGTAATGGTCTGCATCCTGAAAATAGCGATGTCTCGCATTACCCCCCAGCGCCGGATGATTTAGTGTCGGAGCCTGATTTAGATTTGCTTTTGAAACCGCTCGACAGCACCATAAGACACATGTTTCAGCGGAGAATTATTCGAGCACGTACTGGAAAGTATAAACAGCGCGCATGGAATCAATTTTTGTGGCAGTTTATAATCGGTATAATTGGAGTGATTGCCGTTGTTTCAGCAGTGGGAAGTGCATTGAACACTGGTTAGCAGCACACATTTAGCTTTTGAATAATCTATGGATTGATGGAGCTTTGTCGTAGATTTCATATCAACAAGCCGACCCATAAACTTTTTCCTTTCTTGGACACTAATTGGAATGTCAGTCGCTATAACTATAGTTGTTCTTATTCAGGTAATTTTATTTATGCTTCTTCCATATTTTCTACGATCGGTCGAATAGATCTTCCTTGTTCTGCAAATGATTTTTGTTGTCATGCTCGTGTGTGTATCAATAATCTTATTCCTCTTCGTTTTAACTATACCCTTCAACGGCCGGGTTGTGACCGAAGGAGAACAACGCGGCTTCAAAATTGGAACCCTTGTAATCGGCGGAGTAAGTTCAAGACTTTGACTAGATTGTTATTAAACGCTGTTATCAGATAATTATCATTTGGTCTTCAATTATTTTCACGTGGTACTATCTTTGTATGTAAGTTTTACATTTTTATTGTCGTTATATCTAATAGATCAAAAAAAGATTACATTCTTTATCCAAAGTTGCTGTTCAGCAAACGTATTATCGCCAAAAACTGGTGGGGAATAACGTTAGCTCCTGGAAGGTATTCATTTTGATTGATTTTAGACTTTAATTTGCATTAAACCTTCTCATTGCAGCAAAAACCACTTTCATTTCCTTCGTCGTGACTTCAAACACATATCACGTCAAAGAGGAATTTTTCGATACAAGGGCGAGAAGAATGAAGATAACGTTCCACACGGTATTGGAGAATGGATCGATTCCACTGCGCAAGGTGAGCGATTGGTTGGATATTGGGAAAATGGAATTCCTGTTGGTCCATTTCGCAGTCGTGAATATGGAACAGGAAATGGATTTGCAAGCATTCGAATAGGATTCGTTAAAACGGGCGCTGAACCTTGGGATAAACACGCTTGGACCCCAAAAAGAGCAGTGCCGTCATATGGTGTTATTACTGTCGAGAGTTCCATCACTGGGTATGCGCGGATTCTTTTAATTTGAAACCTGCATCTCTTATATTTGAATTAGTCAATTTTATTCGCATCTTCCGGACGTAAAGGTAATTTTGGGACCAACCGCGATGTCGGCAGGTGGTCCAGAATACGTTGTTAAAGAGATAGCAAAAGGAGATGCGTTTTACAACTCGTACTATTCCGTCCCTTCGTCGTATGATGATCAACCATATGCAATGGCGACCGATTTTGGACCTCTCAGCGTAAAAAATAAACATGGAAACCTTTTGTTACATCATCCCGGTTTCCAACTTGCTCCGACTAACGACAAATTTACCTCATTACTTGTTCCAGCGTCAACAGAACCGAGCTCGTCAAATAATCCCGATCCACCGGAAAAGGACGTTAACCAAATTAACAATCAGGAAGCACTTGTTTTTGTTCATGGTTACAACAGTTCGTTACTGGGGTCAGGAATTACACTAGGACAAATGCTGAGTCTTGGGGCGTTTCCACCTCACATTCGACCGTTCATATACAATTGGCCATCGGCATCTGCCCTCTCGTTCTTCGACGCCGTCGCGTACGCATCATCCGATAATGCCAAGCAAGATTTCATTGCTTTTATAAATGAACTTCGAATAGCCGGGTTTCACGGAATTCATTTCATAGGACACTCTTTGGGAAGCAAACTACTGCTAAACTGCGTCGAAGAACTTGATGCGATTTTCACTGATGCGGGTGTTTTTGATCCTACCGACGAAAGATTAATGTTATACAGTTTTACACTTTTTAATCCCGTTGATGATGTAAAGTATTTCGTTTTAAATCAATATGGTACGTCCCAAATACATCTCCTTAAACACATTCACTAAAAGGTATTGAAGATTTTTTGCGTCAAAAGTGCTCTCTAATTACCATTTACGGTGATGAAGATGACAAAGCGCTGTTCTTTTCCGATGTTTTAACGTCAATGTTTCGGGAACGAGTCAGATCGATAGGACGCAATTGTTTTGCATTATTTCGCTTTTCTCCGAATAACACTATTCGGCGTAAACACTTGGACGTATGAAAATATTTTTCTGAAAACCCGTTTTCTTTTTAAATAAAAATTATATTTATTAAAATTCTAGGAATCGGGCTCGTTGTTTACAAACAGTGATAGAGATTGGTTGGATTTAGATGTCATTGGTAAGTTTTTCAGAATTTATTTGGAATTCTTGGATAGTTGATTGATTTTGTTGAAAAGACAACACTGAGATTGACGTAAACGTTCATTTTCTGAGGTACTAAAAAAACCAAAGGTCGTCATTTTTCATATTCTAATCTTTCTCTTTTTCAGGCATACATGTAATTTTATATTTTACCAAAGATGAAACGCTGACTTTGAATTTCAGACTTTAATTTAAATCGTTTATTGGTTGACGATATTGTGGACATAATAGTTCATCGAAAACGGGCATTTTCGCGGTCGTCGCGATTATTGAGAAGAGAAGGAAATGTTTTTTCGTTCATGGCTGCACCCAGTTATGTCCACTCCAGTTAAATCGTGTTTTTTTTTCCCTGAAGATAGAACTTTCAAATCACTTTGAAATATAATGATACAACCAAAAGTAAATATTTATTAAGAAAACGGAAGAGTTAAGAACAATGTATACAGCAAAAAAACAAAAAATCTCAGAAACATTTTCTGTGGACAATAGAGGGTCCACTCTCATCGTATTCTTGCTTAGAAATCCACATTTGCTGGAACGTCGACAAAGAAGCAAGTATAGAACCTCCGATCCAAACCGAATATTTTCGTTCCGGTGGTGCAACAATCCTAATTCTCATCGAACTTGGCGCCAAAGCCGTAAGCTCACGTTGCATACGATCAGCAATACCAGGATACATCGTCGACCCACCCGAAAGAACGATATTCCCAAAAAGTTCTCTTCGAACATCCATATCACATTTCTGAATCGAGTTATAAACAGTCTCGTGAATTCCGGCCGACTCAATTCCAAGGTAAGAAGGCTGGAAAAGTGCTTCCGGGCATCTAAATCGTTCGTTTCCAATTGTTATAACTTGTCCGTCGGGAAGTTCATACGCTTTTTCAAGAGCGGAGGAGTTTGCGGCGGTTTGGAGTTCTTGTTCAAAGTCGAGTGCGACGTATGCGAGTTTTTCTTTAATGTCTCGGACGATTTCTCGTTCTGCAGTGGTTGTGAATGTATACCCACGTTCGGTCAATAATTTCATTAAGTCTAATTAGATAGAAAGACGAATTAAAATTTTCCGAATAACGAGAAAGAAGACAAAAACCAAAACTCACAATCAGTCAAATCACGACCGGCAAGATCCAATCGGGAGATTGCATGAGGAAGCGCATACCCTTCGTATATCGGAACAGTATGACTAACACCGTCCCCAGAGTCTAAGACGATACCGGTCGTTCTCCCAGAAGCGTAAAGTGAAAGCACGGCTTGAATTTGAACAAAAAATGCCGGAACATTGAACGTCTCAAACATAATCTGCGTCATTTTTTCGCGATTAGCTTTCGGATTAAGTGGAGCTTCTGTAAGCAAGACCGGGTGTTCCTCTGGTGCAACCCGTAGTTCATTGTAGAACGTGTGATGCCAGATTTTTTCCATATCGTCCCTGATTTAAAAAAAAAAAAAAAAAAGCAATATCCATTAAAACACAATAATAAACGAATCCGAAAGTAGCTAAAATTACCAGTTCGTAACAATCCCGTGCTCGATTGGATACTTTAACGATAAAATTCCTCGTTTCGCTTGAGCTTCGTCGCCAATGTAGTTATCCTTTTCACCCATTCCGACCATTATTCCCTGGTGACGTGGACGTCCAACAATCGAAGGAAATACAGCTCGTGGTGCATCGTCGCCGGCGAACCCAGCTTTACACATTCCTGATCCGTTGTCGATAACAAGTGCAGTAATGTCGTCGCTCATTTTTGTAGATTAAGAAAGATGGTTTGTATTTTATATGGTTTTGATGATGATAGGAAGAGCGAGGGAACGTTGGTGGTTTTATATGATTCTCACAACCATGGCGACATCATGAAAAATCATGGAGCAGATGTCATCTTTCCTCATGGATTCCCATCCACTGAAATTGATTCGTTCTCGTGTGTTCCCTAATTTTTTTTTTACCAAGCTTGGACATGGAGGCTTTGCGCGGGTGGAGTGGCTTGTAATTAACCATGCCAATTCAGTTTGCCAAGAAGCGGATAATCTTATGTGTAAAATAAACCGTGACCAGAGCGGTTTCAAAATGAAGGCAAACAAAGAGTTAATGAACGATGCGTTATGTATTCTTAAAACGAAATAAAAAAACATGCGAGAGAAATCTCCAGAAATTTCGCTGCACAAAAAAAACAAAGGTCGACACGGAAACGGGGTTCAGTAAAAAAAAAAAAAGCTCTCCGGGGAAGGCTTGAACTTCCAACCTCCTGATTAACAGTCAGACGCGCTAACCAATTGCGCCACCGGAGACAGTATTCATCTTCCGCCAGTGTTGTAATATAAATTAACTTATAAATTGGCACGAATAGGGTTTTGTTGGTGTTTGTTTGATATGTAAATTCTTCTGGAGATTATTTACTATAGTTGGGAAACTTTCGATGTGAATAATCGAGAAGATAAGTACTCTGTGGAGCAGTTTTGCGCAGAAGATTTGTGTCAAAAATTATGTCATCTCGCCGAAGTCTTTGTTATGACATTGTTTTGAAAATCACTTTTTGGAAAAAGAGTGAAAAAAAAAAGTTAAAAAAGCTCAGAGTTCTGTTCTCCGGGAGAGGATCGAACTCTCGACATCCGCGTGGCATATGAAGATCATTCAAATATAAGCACGGCGCTCTAACCAGCTGAGCTACCGGAGACGTTAAAATTTTCACTTTAAAATTCGGTTACATTAAATATTATCCTAGAGTCACGTTTATTACATTTTGACATTGAATATTTCGATTTAATTATAAAATTTGAACCAAATAAATTATCGATGAATAAACAATTTCAAACGTGTCAGTAAAAACCAAATGGCAGAAACAAGACGAAGGATCAAAATAAATGCAGGAGGGAAAATATTTGAAACGTTTGACTCTACTCTTCTTTCTAAACCGAATACTTTATTGGTAAGTTTTGTCTATTCTCCCCACTCTCCTCTTTTGCGTGGTGAAGTTTCTGGTTCACAAATTTCAATCAAAGGCAGACGTAATATCAGGATCTTTATCCAACTCGCCTATCGCAGCTCTACTACCATCAACTAGCAGCAGCACCAATTCTCTCCCGAATACCGCCACCCCGAATTTCCATGACGAGTTGATCGAAGACGGAAACTCTGAATTATTCGTAGACGTAAACCCCACAGTATTCGAATCAATATTAGACTATTACCGCACCGACACATTAATCCTGCCAAAAAATGTTCCACGGGAATTATTTCGACAAGAGTGTGCGAAATTTGGGATTTTGAATTGCGCTTTGGTTGATCCGTCTCCGGATGTACAGGTTACGGCGACTTTGGCACAGGGATACACGACGAATTATACCCATAATGAAGCGGCGTTGGCGTTGCGGATGGTTCCGTTATTAACTCGAGCACAGAATTCGGGGATTGCGGAAATTATATTGTCTACGACTACTAATTTTGTTTTACAAGAAACTTCTACAATTCCGTTATATCTATCTAAATTTATTCGGTCGAGTCATCTTGATCTTGAGTTTTTTCATGATGTTTGTAGTGTAATTGGAAGAGGTGTGTTTATTGGACTGGATTTGGAGGTGGTGAAGCGGTTTGAGTTGTTGGTGGGGAAATCGTGGGCGCTGATAGGTGATATGAAGGGGCATCGTGTATTGAAGATTAATGTTGCGAAGAACGTTGAGAATGGGGCGTTGACGGGATGGAAGATAATATTTTTATTGAAAAAGGAATGAATATCGTATATGCAATCATGGGAATCGGAGTTGCTAAGATGCACACGTTCTTATTTTCGTGCTGCATTTAGTCTCATCGGTACCCATCATCAAATCCAGTTGATGGTATTTAATTGACTTCTATTTGAACGGATCCAATATGTATATCATCTCAGTTTCATTAACGCATAAATTACACTATTTTTGAAGAATATACTTTTTCAAATTATCTCTTTTTATCTTTGGGTGTGTCCGTAGGTGAGTCTTCAGGCTCGAACCCAAGATTTAAAAAACTATCTCGATCCATTAACCCCCTAAAAACACAAAACACACTTAGGAACAGATTGCTTGTTGAAAAATTGAGGTTATACTTCTCCATTCGACATTGCAAATAGAACTTTGAAAAATTTCGACATGTGGAAGTATCAGCTTTATTATTCTTTAGACAGTTCATGTATGCTTTAGCGGCGTCTTTGCATTCCCCTATTTCAACAATTAATAAGCAAAGGTTGGAGAAAACTTTACAGGACATTACCGTACAAGTCCAACGGAAAGCTTCCTCTTTCGGGAGCTTCAGCTTTGGAAAACTTTTGCCAGCTATTAACAAAAAATGTAAGTCCCACAGGAAAAAGACAGTATAATAGTTGATGACGAACCTTGAGCCCAGCGACATTTGAAGAAATGGAGCAGCCTTTCAATGGAAACTGAAAACAACGACGCCGACATCCAGAAACTGATTCATCTGGAATCAATGTATCACTTTGCGTCTCTTTTGCTTGCGATATTGTAATGTTGTTTGTCTAGGTTTGAGGAGCTCGGCAGGGAGGAAGGCTTGCTTCAGGGCAAAATACACGGAAGGGAAGAGGGGAGATTGGTGGGGCAGAATAGGGGTTTTCAAATCCTGCGAGAAGTCGGTTATTATCTAGGAGCGGCCGAGACTTGGGTTCGTCTTTCACAGTTACAACCTGTAAGATTCAATCAGAGGTAAAATTTGAAAAAACTCGGGAACTCTTCAGTTACCAACATTATTTATCTTAAAAGAGTTGTCAAGATTATTCATTTATTGCGCGAAGAGGCACAATCTTTCCCAATGGGCAACACAGACGATGATATCGTAAAATTGCTCGAGAAATTGAGAGGTCGGTATCGAATGATTGCTACGAATATCGGAAAAAACAATGCTCCATCCTTTGTTGATGAATCATTTATCCCACTTGCTTCTAAGCTCTCCTACTAGCTCTTGTAAGTTGCGAAACGTGAAATTTCTACTACCTTGCATTAAAACCTCTCTAGAACGCTTCGATTTCTTCTCTGCTGCATCATCATTGAAAAAATAACTTAAAAATCTAATTTATTTTCGTTTTGCAACATATTCTACTTCTTTATATTCTTCATTGAATATTGGATCTCCTCAATCGCAACTGTATGATAGTTTATGGAACAACACATCCGCTAGATTAAGCGAGATAAAAAAAAATATTCTTGTTTTATTGCTTGAGTAAATTTCTCCTCCAATATCTACTTGTCCATCAGATCTATTCTGACAACCCGCCGTCAACTCCCTTACTAATCTCCAAATTACTGTGAGGATACAAAAGTGTCTGGGCCATCATTATATTCCCTTTCGCAATGCACTCGTCACCTTTTTCAGCAACCACAACCGCTCCAACACCAACGTTCTTTTTAATCCAGTTGTTCACCGTTTGACATTTAGAAAGTATCCCATACAAACGTATAAACCGAATTTGCATTTTTGAGGTGTAGACGGATGAAGTTGTCGATATAAACTTTTCCAGAGCGGAAACGATTGATTTGAGCGTACTTTGAAAGAACGTTTCGACGATAGATGGCGGAATAACTAGGTACTTGGATTCCAAATACACTTCTGCGTCTGAATCCAAGTCGAGATTAAATTGCTGAATATGTTCATCTTGAAAATATTCGAAAACAGTATTAGAAATGTTATCGATTTTGTATTTTTCTTTCTTACCGAGATCGCACTCCCTAATATTTAAAACGCCGATATTGATTCTCATGACGTCTCGCTTGTAGTCATTAACTCCAAGGATTTGATCTCTCCAAACCACCATCATGTCAAGAAACTCCTCCGGGTTGCTCGATTTGTAATCTTCAAGACAATTTTCAGGAAGTACATTTTCCATAAACTTACAAAACAAATTAAAGATCGTCGAGAAGCCCTGGGAAATTTTTTGAGCTGCGAAAGAACCAAAAAAAATAAAGAAATCGCAAGTTATCTTTTTTTCAGAACAACGAAATATTTTCAAAGTTTACCACTTCTCAACACTCCAACCATCCCAACAGTTTCCAAAATTCCACACTCCGTGGTTTCATCCCCACACTCAATCGCAATAAAATGTTCACCAACATCCAAATTCGTATTCAAAATCGTCTTTAAGAAATAATACGCCGCGGTTTCACACTCCAAAACAGTAACGACATTTTGCGAGAGATTCATCGCAAACTCGGTTTCCAAACTTTCACCGACAAACCACTGGGTTTTGGCGAGCGACATAAGCGCAGATTCAATCGATTTTGCTAGAAACGTCTTTGCGTGGGCATTCATTGTGGCCGGGACGGAATGAATGATTAAAAGTTGGCTGATTGCAAATTTATGTTGATTTTTTGAATTTTTGGTCATTGCATCTGCAGAGGGAGGGGTTATCAATATAATCAAAATGATAAAAATGTATGTCGATGAACTTTTATCAAATACCTGTAATCAGTTTTTCGAAAAATAAGCGAAAGACGAGATCAGCCGGACATTTCTTTTTATATTCCACGTCCTCCACTTCGAAATCGCATCGTTCACTGACAAAATTCTCCTCAAGTTGTTTCTTCAGATCCTTTAATAAAATAGAAAATATACGCTACATTATAGCGGTTTAAGAATAACATAAAAATTGGAAACCTGAAACAGCATTTTTCGAAGAATGTTATCTCGCTCGCTCAATCTTCGGTACGATTGAACCAACGCCGACCTCCCAATCTCGACGTTCGAAATTCTGATTTCAGAGTAAAAAGTTTCGGGGATGGTGATTGCCGTGTCCAAATTTTCGATTTTAAAGTCTTTGGCGGGAAGCTCTGTGGCAATCGCATACCTAAAAAATCAACATAGTTACAAACTGGTGCTTTCAACGGAGATTTTATTATTTTTTTTTTTTACTTTGTGTAATGGTGGTTGAGATCGATTCCAATGATAACTTTAACATTTTCCCGTCGAATGTTTGACTGTGAGAAATACATATTTTCTTTTATTTCGAATTTGAAGAAATGACAATTTTGTTTTTTATGGGCTTTTTTTTTTAAAATACGAAATGCTTTCTTTTATAAAGTTATAGAAGCATCCTATCGCTTATAAAAAAGATAGGGAGTGGAATCGATCGTGAACAAAAGATTGCGAAACAAAGTTTAAAAACAACAAATTCGGTATTTTTTTCGTCACAGAATTTATGCAATTTCCGGGAAAAAGCCTACCTTTATTACTAGTTTCAATTTTATTGGTTATTTGCGAATTTGAAAAACTTTTGCAGTGATCATTAAGCTTCGTGCTTGTTTACGTTGAGTTTTCAACTTCTCGAGAATGTGAAATTCGGCGGTATATGCCGTTTTATTTCATCTTTTTTTCCTATTTTATTTGCTCCAGGTGATATTCGGTGTTGCAAAGACTCGATGGTTCATTGGGCGATCATGTCGAGCACTGCCGAAGGGTCCAAGAATATCTATTAGTGATAAACTGTTAGTGAGATGGAAACCGGGGCGCTCAAATTGAGTTGTTATAGTTTTCAATTTTGATTTACTATCCACAATTTTTTTCTAATAATAAAGGGTAATTAAAAAAAAATATTTGCAAATCATTTTGCCGGGTTTAGTGTGCAATTTGTTCTGAATCTGGTTGAATTCATCGCAAAGTCCCCAAAACTTTATTTTCTGATATCAGGATAACTAC